CCCCCTGCCCTTCCCCGGGCTCGCCGGCATCCCCCATCACCTCCTCGGCATCCCCTTCCCTGCCTGCCTTGGGTTCCCCGGCGTCACCCCATCTCCTCCCGGCATCCCCCCCGACGTGCTCCGGGCTCTCCGGCAGCCTCCCTCCCACCCCCCATCATCTCTCCCGCATCGCCCCAGACGTGCCCCAGGCTCTCCAGTTTCTCTCTGTCCTCCTCGCCTCCCTAAAGTCCCCCTGTCACCACCCCAGCATCCCCCGCTCTGACCCAGGTTCCCCAGCATCCCCTCATCCCGTCCCCCAGACCTGCCCCAGCGTCCCTGTCCTGCCCTGAGCATCCCTGGCATCCCCTGCATCCCTCATGCTGCCTGCGAGCATCCTCTGCATCCCTGCATGCTGCTCTCAAGTATCTCTTTGATCCCCTGCATCCCTCCGTGTCCTGTTCCCTGAGCATCCCCTCAGAACCCCCTGGGTGTCCCGTGGTCCCCGTGGGGCCGCATCCCTCTTTGGGATGCTCGGCTGCGCTTGGGGTGCTGCATGGAAACCTCCCGGGTGCCTTCGTGCCTGTGTGGTGGTCAGCGCAGCCTGAGCGTGGCCATGGTGCTTGACGTGGCCATGGCCCTGGCAGTGTCGCAGGTCTGACCCGGCCACCCTGCCCTGCCGGGCCATGCCTTGCCACCGGGGCCTCAAATCCCTCCGATCTGCCCAGGCGAGCTCCTGCGTGGGTGTGTGGGAAGGAGTTGGGGGAGAAACGGGAGAGGCTTGGTGCTCCCTGGCTGGGCGTTGAACATCGCTTGCTGTCTTGAGTTTGCTGAGTGGTAGGGGAGCAGAGAGGTGGCTGAAACTGCTGCCCGTGGGACACGTGGATCCAGAAATCGAGCCTGGACATGGGGACTGCGGCTGTTCCCCCACCCGGCCAGCCTAGGGTGATGCCCTTGCCAGTTTTTGGGAGGAAGGAGGCCAAGGCCTGTAGGGCCTGGGGTTGCTGCAGTGTCCTGGGGTGACAAAGAGCCGCCTGTCCCCACTGGGTGTGCACGGGGACCACACAAAGCCCGGCCCCAGCATCCTGCCACCTGCTTGCCCCTGCCCTTTCTTCCTCCTCCCCTTTCCTTTCCTTTTATTCTTAGCTTCTTACCCTGAGCTTGTGAGTGTGATTTCACTACCACTGCTCAAAACACATGAGCTTTGACTTGCTCCGGGTCGCTACGTTGCAGAAACTCCAATACCAGGGCTAAATCCCCGAGAGGTCGTGGCTGTACCTGGCACAATGGGTGTCAGTAGTTGAATTTCTCTGCCTGCCGTGAAGCTGTGCTGTTATCTCTCCCAGGACTCTAGGTCTGCATGTGATCACTTAAATCCTGTCATGGTCCTTAAAATTGTCATGAAAGAGAAATATTGTGAATTGCAAAGAAAAGAACCGGCCGCATAAAATCCTTCCGATTTATATAAAAACGTGCAAAAAATGCTGTTGTTTCCGTAAGCTGGCCTTTGTTCAGATGTTTTTGCAAACATAATTCAGATAAACACTTCCAAGTAATAACAAACTTTACAGATAAGAATGAAGCTCAGTAGTGACTCATTTGAACAAGCTTCAGCTACACACAGCCTCAGCCATCTAATAGCCTCTGAAAAGACTTTAGATCCAGAATATAACGTAACGCAAAGCCTCTGAGCTCCTGAGCTTGGGCTGTGATAGGGATGAATAATGTCATGGTACTAAGTGGAGTTTACAGGGGATCTTGGTGACACATCCTTGTCTCCTTTATTAATACCACCCAAATAATTGATGAATGACAAACAGTGCAGTCTCTTTCAGGGGAAAGTGCTCCCCTACCAGCTTTCTGCCATGATGAGGATGAGAATACCTGTTGTGATGGTTATTTGATGGCGTGGAATATAATAAAATATCCCTGACAGCTTTGCTAAGGCAGGCAACAGCTTTGGCTTTTGTGCATGAGCAGCCCTCCGAACCCACACGCCTCGGTGCTCAGGACGGGGGGAGTTGAGTGCTGTGAGCCCTGGCCGCAAGTTCAAGCAGGAGATTTTCCTTTTTGGAGAGATGGGGAAATTGTGGCTCTTTTTTCTTTGCTTGCTGAACTTGTGACATTCATTTCCAATCATTCAAGCAATCTTGTGGGCAGCTCTTTTTTTTAAATGAAAGCAAAGAGCGCATCGTGGACGGGAGTCTAGGAGGTTTTGAAAACAGCCACCAGCTTTTTGCTGAAGAGCCTGAGGCTGGTGAAAAGGGTGTGAAGCTGTGGCTATGGGGGGCAAAGGAAGCTAAAGCTGACATGGGGATCAGGAGCTCTTCTAGCGTGAAGCTGGTGGCACATCTGGGGGGATGCTGGTGGCACACCCAGGGAGGATGCTGAGAGCACATCTGGAGAGGATGCTGACGGCGCACCTGGGGAGGATGCTGAGAGCACATCTGGGGAGGATGCCCAGCTGCAGCGCACAGGGGGTGGGAGCAGCCTGCAGCCGGGATGTCCATCCCCGGGGAACGTTGTTCTTTTTGTTTCCTGAAACGTGCACGGGTTACCGTTTCAAATGTTTCCCTGTTCAAATGTGCCGATTTGATGTAGGGGTGGGGGAGCGTTCAGCCCTGCAAATGATCGGTAATGCCAGTTGTGTGTTTGCACTTGGGGGATTATGTTAATCATGCTACAAATGATGCTTTGAATCATGTCTAGAGGTTAATTAACATGCCTTTCTTCTCTTAAGAGGGCCTTCATGTCTGTTTAGAGTTGCTGGCTTTTTTCTGCTTCCTATCATAATTACTTTGCAGCTCTGTAATATCATGGGTACCTTTAATTTAACCCTGTCAGTGCTCAGGCTGCTGGGGCTTTGCACTGTGCTCAGCATCATGATGGCTATTTGATTTTATTTGATAATAAAGTATCCCTGATGCCTGGAGATGTTGTGGCCAGGCTGTCCTGTGCAGGCTGAGACCTTGAAGGAGCTGATGGAAATTGGAGAGGGTCTGGCTGGAGCCAGGTGAGGAGAGAGGATGGTGATGGTCATATTGCCCAGGGGCCACAGCCAATTTATGAGCGAGGCCCTTACACAGATAATTAGTGGAAAGGAGGATCCGTTGTGGGAGGACCTGGAACTGTGAAGGCTGGAGAGGGGCATCCTGAGAGGTGCAGGCACTGTGGGGAGAGGGGATTGCTCTTGGGAGGCCAACTGGTAGAGCTGGGAAAAACAGGTGAGCTTTTCAGCTCTGAGCTGCTTCATCGCATCTCACTACTTTTCTCCTTTTTTTTTGTGCCACATCGCTGTGTGTGTATGTGTGCATGCAAAATAGCGCTTTATCCTGAGCTAATTTATTTTCTCTTTCAGTGGGAGCATTTGGCTCATGGGTTCCTGTCTCAATGCTGCACTTCGGAAGCTAGTGCTGCTTCATTTCAAATTTCTATTTTTATTTTTCCACATAGTCTCCAATTATTTTCAGGCTTTGCCAAGCATGTAATCTAAAATAACAAAAAGAAGCTGATCAGCCTATGGTATTCAGGTTAAAACCACATGGACCACTTGCCTATGAAGCCAGTGATGCCCAGGTGGGGCAGAGCACAAAATAACCTGCTCAGGACAGGGGGTAAGGTTTTGCACAGCCCCAGGAGTTCCCTGGGTGGGTCTTTCCTGGGTTTTTACCCATAGCAGGACTTGAAAAGATTCAACGAACCTTAGTGAAAATGCACAGTAAACCTGCTTACCCTTTTATTAGAAAACACGGAAAGGTTTCATAAACCTTCATTGCCCTTTTCTCGCCATGTCAGTTCAGCACTGGGTTCCTGATGTAATCTGAGGTTTGCCTGTTGGGGTCAGATTTGCAGGGCTACACAGCAGCGCCATTCCTAGTGAAAAAGCACGTGGGGTGCTTGTGGAGATGGGGGTATTTGGAAAGTCTGTCACTCCTTTTCTAGCACAGGCTCTGGCACAGGGGAGAGCTGAGCGTTTTGGGAGTCCCTGGCCTGCAATGTGACCCAAGCAGGGAGCCACGTGTGAGACTGGCTCTTGGGCAAAGTCTGCTCTACCTCTGGGGACCATGTATCAGACCAGCATGTTAATTTGGTATTATCAGGAAATCAACTTTTAGCTCCTCATCCTAAGAACTTCCCAAGAGAGCAGATCCTTCCCGGCTTACTCTGTCTACAAGTCAGTTTGATTTTTAATTGTACTTGCACAACCTTGGCAAGAGGTATAAGTGCTCAGCAATTCTTGAAATCACTGTCTTCCTCTTTATGCATATTACCTTGCAGTAGACTTTATCTTCTTTCATTAGCCACCCAGAGGTTTTTGACCTACATTAATAGAACAGAAAATACCCAGTGTTGGGGAAACCTGTAATTCCTGGGCTCTGGCCCCATGCTTCAATGCCTGAGTAGCAAACCATAACAAGGACTCACTGACCAGTGAACCGCTCACCACTAAGCTGGGCTGAAATGGGTGCCGAGACAGGACCGGCTTACGGGTGGACCGTGGAAGGTCAAGTTGATTGAAAATAGAGACAGGCTGCTCTCGGGATTAATTCTGTCAACTCTGCTCTCAATGGGAGATGGAAGCTGCTTTGCTTAAACAAAGGCACAGAGAGGTGGGTATTAGCCGTGGCATCGCTGCTTGGGCTGCGGGGCCAGAGGCTGGGTAGCAGCCGGGGCTTAGCTGCAACGTGGCTGCTCATGACAGTGATGACTGGTTCACGCTGGGTCGCCTGCCCACAAACCTTCCTGACAAACAGCGAGTCCTGAACCCTGTGCCTTAGGAAGGGCATCATCTGGGTGCATCAGAGACATTTTGGGCTGAACGTTGCATTTCCTCTTTGTAGGGCCCAGAGCGATGTCTGGCACAGGGTGGCAGGGGCACAGCAGGGTCATTTTGACGGTGGGACAT